TATTTATTCACCCAAACTTAGTTGGTGTATCAATGTTATACCCAACACTCCCTTTGGGCTTTTCCTGCTTGGGTGACACCACTGTCCTCGTGAAGTTTCCTTTCCACACTACAATGAATAATAGTTCATCTAAATTACCTTCTCACATCCCAAAGCTAATACTTGCTTGCAAGAAGACATTTGAAATCTCTCTCTTTCTCTCTCCCACATTTTTCATAGGCTGGAAGAGTTTACCGCAGGAGTTTCTTTGCTTTCAAGTTAATTAATTGAGCCACTTTGTCCCATCCCAGCAATGTCGGAATCCTAGGATTGTTTTCTGTGTGACTGACACTTCCACCCGAGCTTCAATACAAATGTATTATTATGTACAAGTGAGCCCATCGTTCACGTTTCTTTCCCCGCCTTTGTGGATATCAGAGTGCCTGACGGGTTATGTGAAGCTACCGGTACCGCGCTCAATGTCAATTTCTTGCGGTGATTCTCAGTGCCTCTTTCATAAAAAGTTTGTGCTTGATAGGATTCGGATTTAGATCGAGGCGCGGAACTACGCATGGGAGACTGGCGCTCCATTGCACATCGAGGGTAAAGGCTTTTATTCTCTAAGTTAAATTGACTTAGTGGCAAACTGTGGGGTGTTGATGCTGCACCATTGCGAGTGGGTTTTCTCAAGTACTTGCCGATGAATTGGGGAGGGGAGATCTTTTCCATCATGATGGCTGATAGTTTTCCTGAAGCAAAAACACTAAGAGCCTCGCTACCGAGGGAGGAGGAAAAAGCAAATTGAAAGAATTTGTGACCGCAAAGCCTGATTGGTTTTGACTTTAGAAAGCCTGTAAAACTTATTAGGAATTAATTATGTTTTATTCCTGCCATTCTTCTGAGGTATTTTGAATTTCAATTGCATGCAAAGAGTTTTTGCATTGTGCTGGTTCCGTCTACAGACAAACTATTGTGCTTTTTAATGGTATAATAAAAATTGGCAAGATTTCCTGTTCAGTTTCCTGGAGAACAACTTTGCATTGTGTTTCCTTCTGATATGTGAAGAGTAGGGAACAATCTCAGCTGGCTCAGGAAGGAAGATGTTAAATTCATATCGAATTATGAAGTGATGTTAACAGAATCTGTACGATAGACCTGTAAGTATCCTGCTGCCCAAGAATCTAGATTATTGTTGGAATGCAGTGCTTGTATTTTAATTGCTTCAGCTT